ACAATCTACGGACCCTATCTTGGGTGAACGATTATGAGTCGAGGAACGGGTAAGGCTTGGTTGGAACCAGAAAGCTATCTCATAATTTGTTGTATTCACCCAAATGTTCGTCTTTCCACGCACTTTTTATCAATAGTGCTTTTAATTTCTTGCACATCAGTCTTTGAACCCCGGGTATCTACCAACTTACTGTACACTTCATATAAAGACAGCATGACTCGATTGTTCTATTTATCGCCTTAAAATGGATAGAACAGCGTCAAGATTGCGTTTGTCTTGTCTAATTTCCGTGCTGCCTAATTCTTATTTTTGACAAGCGCAGCGAGGGAAATATGGTAGAAAAGGGCAATTTTACTAAAAATACATTGGGCACATGAATGAGAAAATTAAGAATTTTTTCTTGGTTTGCTTGTTACATTTTTTGTGGGGTAAAGGAGAAAAAGTAGGTAAAAAGTACCTCCGAAAATAAGCCGGTGGCACGTGGTCCACTGTGCGCTCCCCCACTCCACAACGTATTTTACATAGCACTGTGCTTGAAACCTGCCCCTTATACATAAAGTGACACATACATGTACATATGTACACAGGCTGACTTTCAACACTGTTACTCGGCACACAAAGAATTCTACAAATATTTTGCCTGTAATATGAAAAAATAATATCTCATACTTCAAGAAACACTGTTGTTAATGTATTTTGTACTTAGAATCTCAAACGAAATGCTGTCCGTTCTTACTGCATAGTCGCTTGGAAAAAGCACCCCAGCGTCATGGGCCTACTGTAGTTGTTTGCATTGATAATTTACTATGGTTATATAGTGAATAAAGTGCGCGAGATGAATAATAGTATATAAATGCCTCCTTCTACTTTCCAGGACGCTTCCTCGTGTATCTACAATGAAGATTGATTGTAGTTGTTCTTCATTGCAATAAAGGACAGTGCCCCAGTCCATATTTAAAGGTTAGCTTGAATTGGTTTGTCGCGTTATTCAAAATGATGTTCGTTTTCGTTCCTTGTGTTGTCCATGTAAGGAATCTCTTTGGTGAAGGTATATTTTGAATGATGTGCCGTGATATAACAGACTATGCCAGCAGTGATGGACATAAGTGTAAACCAGTTGGGATGCAACATTGGACAGTGTCAAAGGAAAACGTTCACATAGACAGCGCCTATCCCCTATATATATAACCATGAATATTAAACCCCTCCCCGCTATTAGAAATAGATGTCAAAATCTGAGTATATCAAGGTTTTCAACTGGATTTGCTCGCACAAAAGTAGATTTATAGGCGTTTATCGAGATCAAATCTACATCCGTCTATCTTATGTACCTTTGGGTTATTTAATCTACCCCCTGTATATGAAAATAAATGTAATCTCCCCCACGATATCAGAAATAGAAGTCAATATCTAAGCAATCAAGGTTTTATACTGGATTCACTTGCACAAAAGGAGATTTCTAGGACTTTATCGAGATGAAATCAATATTATCGGTTATCTTATGTGCCTTAAGCTTATTTAATGAAGGTTTTATGTGCAAATAAGACAAACCATGGGGCCCTCTATTGTTACTGATATTGAAGCGATGACTTCGAATGTCATTATGATGAACGACAAACGGAGAGATATGGACACGCAATTGCAAACAAAGTTCATAACAGGTTAAAGTCACAGGACTCAGATGCATGTTGACGTCTGTCTCGAATCGCGGACTGAAGTATTATATGTTCATCATGAATGTGCATAAAACACGCATAAGGTTTAATGAATAAGGTCCGCACTTAAATAGAAAATGTCAAAAGAAGAGGAAAACGAAATTTAAGACTTAAAAACCTTCATGTACTTAATTGCACAACAGGTATATGCAATAAAAAGAAATAAAATCAGTGTAACTGTTTCTAAAACATACTTTCTGAACACGATAGTAGCCTGTAATGGTTTTTATTTGATTTTCTGTTTCAAGAATGTGTACGTGGTTTTCCATCTTTAGAGCAACTGACTTAGTTAGCGATGCAATCACCTTTTAATTACTCCGTTTCTTGTGCTATGAAACCATAAAATGTGTTTATTTTGTATGTTGTTTAAAAAAAGGGAAAAGTTAGATAATCTGTAACATGGAGTGCAAAACCATTAGGCCTATCAGTAGAGATCACATACGGTTAAGAAGGCGTCAGATCCTTCTAAAGACTATTATGACTACAGATGTACAGCTAATTAGCCCAAGACAGATTATTTCATATAATTGTAAAAATGCATATAGTAAATATCATGTCAGTGATAAAAAGTACAATATATACAGTCATATGGCAGCTGGCTGTGCGTAGGAAAATATTCAGAATGGAGCGCGTGCGCTGAGATGACGTCGTGGTTGAAATTTTGTAAATTGAGTAGCCATCGCGTGAATTCATGAATTGTGCTTAATTGCCCTCATACGTGCTTGTGAAGAATTAAGGTGTGATAGCAGAGTTCACTACGCATCTCGACGTCTGCGATTTACCTATTAGTAAGCAGAAATGAATGAGCTAGAACTCGAGAAAGTCGGCCAAAGGGTCAATTTTTGCCCGTAGCAACACTGTAGCAAATTGAAAAATAACACGTCTTAGTAAATTCCGTAAAATGTTGCTTTTTCAAAAAGAAAAATACGAGTCAAGTTTCATCGAAATATATAATTGGAAACTTTTTATGCGAGCTGTTGAAGTGCGCTTTTTGACTCTATTCCGCTAGATGTCAGCCATATTCTGACGTCATATTCTCCAATACAGAAGCAAGTGAAGGTCTGAAGGTTTCACTAAATTTCGAGAATCAATATACTTATCACTTATTTGCACAATAAAATGTCCCTTTAAGTTAAATAAATAATATCTTAGACGTTAAAATCATTTTACCTTTCTAGGCGTCTTATTTCAAAAGAAGATGTTTTATCGTTATATCGCACCTGCACAAGTCAAGTCGGTTGCGAATCCTCCACGAAATTTGCTGCCATAAAGCTTATCTGCACAATCCTGAGTTACGAGTAGACTGAACATAACATTTAAATTCTGTTTACCATTACGGACTGCGGCTTTGCTAATATAGTTTGTTGTTTATTCATAGTCCCACCCCCCTACGATACTCATTTTGAGAACGATTTATTTTCAAAATTCAAAATTGTGAACATATTTCATTTAATTTTTTGCATATTTCAGTAATCCTTTGAAATCGAGGGTAAGAGCATGAACTTTTCTTATTATCTTTACAAAATCACAACTCAAAACGACCTGGTTTGTTCTTAAACTGGTTTTATTCGCAAGGTACAGTTTTTCACGTCAGCCATCGCATTTGTCCAGAAACGGCTCTACTTCGTGACGCAGACTCACTGAAAAGTTTCAAATAACCGCCATGACGTTACGTTTTTCAGCCGGTTGCCATCTGACTGATACACAGCGACCGCGGGCGCTAGATGGAATCAAAATTTATTTTCAACAAAGATGCCGATTTTCTAAAATTGAAATCGTTCATCATTAAACTTGCATGTGCAATGTAGGCTTTCATTCTACGTGGTTGATTTTGCTTTTTTTCTTTTTTTTTTATTTTTGAATTTCAAAAGGAACTGAGTAGTCGTTTATTGACATGGCATTATTCTATTGCTACAGCTGGAACTCTCAGTGATAGCATTTGTTAAAAGTTAAATATTAAAGACTGAACGATATGCTGCCTTGGTCTTGAGTATCGGAAACTTGCATAGTATTTCATGGAAAAAAACTTTTATATAAAATAGACGTTTAACATTTAAAATTTTTATGATGGCAAATAAGAATTAGATTTTTCTAATTCACTTTCTTCATTCTCTTTTTCATTGGAAGAAGTGAACAAGGGTCACAAAGCCTGATAATTTCCATCTGGAATCATTAAAGTTGAAAATAATATTTCTTACAGCAAAACCATTGCTAAAAATAAAATCCAATAAGATACAGTATAAGAAAGTACATGTAATATATACGCGGTACGTAAGTTCATGTACCCTTGGCATAAAGTTTTCAGAAACAGAAAATATGCGCGCATGTTGTAATTATGATGCTTCCCAGAAAATGATTTGGTCGAATGTATAGTATCAAACACTAAAATATAATATCAGTATAAAAAATAATCGATTTCTGAAGTCGCTCTGTATCCCTTGCTTTAATGAAGAGATCCGGGCACGTATTTACATGTACATTTTTTATGAATGACAAGTGTGGTAAATTGATTTTCATCACATTTTGAAAAAATCGGAGACGGGTCGATTTTGAGTGATTTTGATAAGGTCCGGATATGGCAGTTTTCTTCAATTTTGGCCAAAGATGAAAGTTTTTTTTGGATGGTTAAAGTGACCGGTAGGTGCGTTGGGTCATTTGTAGTTACATGTAGTATCAAGTACTGGAAAAGTGGTTATATCAACATTAAGGAAGAAATGAAGGAAAAACTCTGGCCACCCCCTTTCTCTCCAGCCCCTGTTCTCAGGTGTGCTTTTTGGCTATCTTAAAAGCTGAATTTAATCGACATTAAAACAAATTCATTTTTATAGGTACACCTTAATCGATAATAATATCAACATTCATCTTATTTCCCCGGTGTTGAGTTTTGTGGCAGTAATGTTTCAAATAATTATGTAAGTATGCACTATAGAAGGCGCATGCACAATATTTGTGGAATAAAGTGGTGGATTTTAAGTGAACCTCAGTCCAATCTACATCAAGGGCGGGTCCAAGTTATTTTGAAAGGGCGATGGGCGTTTTTTTTACGAATTGACAGGCTTCGGATTGCGAGGCCGACCCTCACCCCGTTGGCGTTATGTTCCGGGCATGCTTGAGGACCCCGAAAAAGATTGTGGTTTTAGCAGGCAAATGTATTTGACCGTGAACATTCGTGAACAGTTTCAACCACAGTCCCTCGCCTGAAATGAACCATGCCTGTCTGTAATTTGCATAACAAAAACTTGTTCATCGTAGTGCGAGCTGTCTTCCCGAATGCTCACTAGGCAGTAGGACACAGCTGGGTGAAGACGCAATGTTCAAGGTGTGGTGCAGTTGCAAGCCAGTCGTTTGAGGCGTAGAGGCAAATGCATGTTTCGTAAGTATCACTTTTTCTTCAGTAAACCTATGTCAGTTGATAGAAAGAGTAGAAGAATGAAAGAAAATTTACGAAATGTATTTATTGATATGTTACTACTCTTTGTTATGTTTTGCCTGTAGTTTCTGTTGTGTCACTCAAAATGTTATTCAGCAAATTAGTAAACGGGCATACTACCACAAAAATCACGGACTAATTTAGATGAAAATACCGAATTTGTCACAGTTCTGAGCTTTTGATCCAAAGACAAGCGTGCCCCATCAATATAAACATCAAGTTTATAGTCAAAGTTTATCAAAAATTCAAACGTCTCCTTTTAAAATCACGATAGTTTAAAAAGTTTACATCAGTTTCGGTAGGTTTGTTTGTTTTATTTTACATGTACCTGTAAAAATGTTTGTTAGCAGTGTTGAAATACGGGGAAATGATTTATACTAAAGCGAAATATGGCTCCTAAACGCGTGATGCAAAGCGATTTTAGATATTACATTGTACAACATTATATAGTAGGTAAAATGAATAAACGTCCCCAGTGATGATCTCCACAAATTAGAGAAGAATTTTCAATATATATATATATATATTTTTTTTTTGCAAAGCAAGATATGTGAAATATCTTAATTTATTACTAACTTCAGGTCTTAATTTTGGCGTTAGGCAACATAGATATCGATTGCTTTTTGGGGTGCTATCTGAGCCTGAACTTTGGACAAGTCAGTAAACACCCACATCATTTCAAGTATCCTCTTCTCTTAGATGTAAAATGCATTGGTAGTATTTTCCGAGCCTGCCCCTTTAGTCAGATAGTGTTAACATTTCCTTCTCATTTCAGAAGTCCACTGAGATGCTGAGAACAGCACGACACCTGCCTGCTAGCAACCAAGCCTGTCATTCACGTTCTGGAACCCTACGCACATCCATGCATCTTTTGTTTTAAAATTGAATAAACACGTTTGTAATTCCTTGTTTTTTTTATTTCGATATGAAATAATGATAAAAATATTAGTAATAGTAATAGTAGAGGGTTGGGGTAAAATTATGAAGATATGATTATTGTCTGAGCACTTTTAAATTAAATCTGCTAAAAATGATCTGTATGCATTGTTTGGGATTGATTTCTACAGTAACAGAATATGTCTTAAATAAAAAAAAATTAAAAGGTTTGTTAATATACCCAGTATTTTGTAAATAATTGAAATTGAGCATTTTAAGAATACATCCGAGGGATTTTCCAACAGCCCACATTTATAAATATAATTTGTATGAATTTACAATTTTGCCTTTTTGAAAATCTGCCCTACCTTTTATGATATAGAGAGACGGGTTTTTTAATATCTATTGGAATACATTAGTTCGTCCTCCGGGATATAATTTTCTTAATTTAATTTGTTTTAAGGGTTCTGGTTTGCTACAGAAAATTTATTCAAATTCCACGACCTTCTCATCAGACGATTACATCAATTTTAAATTAAAACAAATATGAGAGATCCTGACACATTTTAGTAATGGCAACAGTTGAAATTTGCTCCTCCACCCAAAAATTAGGTCTGCTTATTTCAATATATTTGAAAATGTCTCATTAAAATCATAATTAAAATACATTGATCCTTTGATTTTATTTTGTGGCCTAGATTTATTTCCCAAATGTGCAGACAAAAAAGGTAACCTTTTTAATAAATTGTGAAAATGCAATTTTTAGCCAAATAATTTAATGTCTATTTCTGCATTATACAAAGTCATAACCCCTTAAAACTTAGTAACACAATACTAAAAAATAGTGTTCTTTTATACACCTAATTGCACTGGCGTTAAGATGTGATTTTACTTGCGTGCACTCCCAAAAAATAATGGACTCGCCCCACCTGTCATCCCTCAGATGAAATGGACTCGCTCCACCTACCACCCCTCAGATGGAATGGACTCGCCCCNTCGCCCCACCTGTCACCCCTCAGATTGAATGAATTCGCTCCACCTGTCACCCCTCAGATCGAATGAACTCGCTCCACCTGTCACCCCTCAAATTAAATGGACTTGTCAACTTTCAAAAGGGATTCTCAACTGTCATCCACATCAATGCATTCACACAAACCAAAACTCATATCAAACAAAGTTCTTCTTGTGTGATACTTATTTATCGAAATCGTATTACGCTGCTGGTTGTCTCTCTGCTTTTACATTTTTTATGAATGACAGGTGTGGTAGATTGATTTTCATCACATTTTGGAAAAATCGGAGACGGGTCGATTTTGGGTGATTTTGAACACACACACATTCCCTGAATCGGGGGGGGAGGGTAGTGTGCATGACACGAAAAAATTCTTTAAGTGGCTGAAACCTCAGGGTATACTCACTAACGGATTTCCCTTGTTTTCCTCTAATAAGGGGGTTCAGACACCGAGGAAAGTTAATCGAAAAGGGGCATTTTTGTTAAAAAACGGAGTATGAGAACTCAAATTATGAACACCAAAACTGGTTACGTACCAAAATGTGAGGATGACTGTACCAAAACTTGACTCCCCAAGTGTATTTCTCTAGTCATGTGAATTTTCCTACAATCATCTTCAACCGCGAGATTCCATGACGTGAAAAGGACTACAAACTAGAAAATGTTATTCGATATAGTGTGTTCTTTTATACCTTCACAGACAGGCATAAAACAAACTCCAGAAGGTACTTACACCACAAGATAACTTTTAGAAATCAATCTTAAGCTTTTACAATCACACTAAGGACCAAGCTTGATAACATTGTTTGTTGCACGACCCGTATACATGAGGGTCCCGCATATACATGTGCACTTTCCTAAAGCGAGACTGAAAATAGAGCTAAACGGGGTTTTCTTTTTTATTTGTGACATGTGCAAATAAAAATTCGATTACATGTGCCTGTATGTGCGTAAGAGCTTTGATGCTTTTTTTAAAAATAGTTTTTAAGTCAGTTTCCCGAAAAATAGAATTTTACTGGTGAAAGTAAGCAATTTTTCTGCTCCCGAATCATTGCACGGTCCGTCCTCGCGCCTGGATTCGATGTTTATTAATGTAGTTCCAAATGACTGGCTAGTCATATACCAGACTACCAGGTCTTCCTGGACATTTGACAGGGAAATATCGATTAATTTTATATGAGGGGTACATGTACTTATATTTGAGGGGGTTTATCATTATCATGGTCCGAATTGGGGAAAACGCCGGCACTGGTGAGAAGCACTGCAGAATATTAAGACATTGCAAATATGATTTTGGGGCATTTTAAAAAGCGAATAATATGCTTTTTGTCCCCATTTAGTAAAAGATTTCAGTAGTCATATTCAGAGTGGAGTTTGATCAATCGTACATATATAAACCAGTAAGCTAAAAGACATATCCTGGACTTCGGATATCCGAGAAAGGGCTTGTAAACTGTAAGGAACTGACCTACTCCGTATAGGCGATCAAAATGGCAGAAGTTTTAAAAATCAGTCAGACGGACCAGTCTGCGTCGGAATCTCCCACTCAGATCAGGAACCTAATGTGTTTGCCCGGCATGTGAGCAAACTATTTCAGCAAACTTCGGTTTGTTTACAAGTGAAGGAAGTTCTAGTTTCTTACTTAGCGTAGATGTGAATAATCTGCTTTCATTCCAACCCCTGACAATTCAAACTCAAACAATTATTTCGCTACTGAAACATGAAAAGTGAAAAAGCAGTGTCATAGCGCTCGTGGGGAAGCGCATGCGCGTCATTTTTTTTAGCATTAATTATTTGAGCCCTTTTGGAATATCAAGCCATCCATAATCAGTTATACAACATGGGGTCCAATCACGTGTAATACCTTCAATTGTGCGTAATATTTTCTTTTGTGATTAACGTCGAATATGTGTGAAATTTTAAATACAGGAAAACGTAAGATTTTACAATTACCGTCAGGCATTTTATGAGATACATAAATTTTCCTTGTTTGAGAAGGCATGGTAGAAGTTTGTCTTCTCCTCAAAGGTGAAACTGTCCTTCATAACAACATTCCAAACAACGCACCATCTGTCAGCCAAACAAGTCTCATTCAAAGTTGAATCCAGTGAGGCAGGACGGGAGGGGGGGGAGGGGTGCGTGCAGCCATTTTCATTCCTAGAATATGTCCTCACCTCCATGTACACCGAACCAGGCGAAAAAGAAAAAAAGCCCACGCTTGTGTCTCCACTTTTGCCTATCCAAGTCATCTCTATGACCTGTGGACATACCCTTACTGTTAAAGTCAATTTTGGACCAGCTGAAGTTTAAGTCTGTATGGCAGATGATATATTACTACACTTAGCATTGCACCAAGCGCACCACAAGTACATTAAGCCGCTAAACATTTTATGACCAAATATTTCATATCATTTCGAGATAAGCACACTCCAGTCTTCCTGAGACTCAAGTCAACTTGAAGGCAGCAGACGTAGAACGACATCAAGTTACACTATACTGGTCAGGAAAGTAATAAAATGATATGGGTATATTTCTATCTTATGCTATACAACAATCGTGCTTTTCCTTGTTATTTGTTATCGCTAGCAGCTCCCTAAAATCATATCCAGTGATTTGATATGAATCACGCTGTTATAATCAACAATCTTCCCTGGTTAAGCTCTATCAATTAAGGTCCGTAAAAAGTGGAAGGGTTCACTAATCCCTGGATTAAAAACGCACAAATTTGGACACAAATGATTTTTAGCCAGCATACAGAGAGAGAGAGAGCAGCTCGCGGAGGCCACATGCGCCTTTATTTCTCTATGTTTGCAATCGCAAGCTTACTCACAGTGCACGTATTTATATATAAGAGCCCGAGTCGATATGTCTCCGGTTTAACCTCACTTGCATTGATTGATTCTGCGTTCTTTATTCATTTAAAGGTATTCCCTGTGAACCAGTGCGAGCCGTCTCACGTACTTAAACGCTGAGGGAGATTGGTTGGTCACGTCTTGAATGGACAAGGACTCGGTCCCAGCCAGACGTATGGATGATAGAAGCTAATATATTCCACGCCATCATCAGAAAGTGTGACTTCGACACTGCACTGACACCCGGGCGAACAACGCGGAGATAAAAACGCCAAAATATACACTACTACATTAGTAACGGCGCTGATTGTAGATAGTAAGTCCTGTGGTGTTAAATGTGTCAAAGCGTGTGTGTGTTAAATACGTGTAGTTTGATTAAAAGAAGTACATCCGTCAAGACAAACACATGCAGTCCGCAGCAAGCGGCTGGAGAACTTGTTGCAGGTTCTGTGAAGGACCTATGTAACGAACAATCGAATATGATTCAAGACAAATTAACACACTTCATTTTCTTACCATACTTTACACCTTCCTGAGAAATTAACTTACGCCTACTCAACAAAGCTATACACGATATTACTGAAGGGACACTCAATAGATTTAGAAACGCCGAGTCATATAACTTCCAAGTACCACCGAACAATCATTTAAATCCTCATCGGGTCGTGAGGACATGGTACCGTAAAGGCTACCCTTTGTGAGGGGAGAGATAGCGGACTGTTTGCTACCTGTGAGATAGCGAGTACCTGGCTCCACGAACGGTGTACTTGTCCCTGACTGCTGTGTGCATATAGGAGCATAGATGTAGATGTCCACATACCTTGAATAGGGCTATGGTTCACGGAGTATCAATTTATCAACAGGGTTTTACCATTTGAACACGACTGCCGATATGTATTTCTGTGCGGCCGCTTCATTCAAACTCATTACAATGGGTATGTAGCACAAGGAGCAACAGGTTTGTGTCGTGAGCTGTTCGCCGTGGAGAAATTGCCTTGAAGCTGTACACCGCACAAGGTCGAATCTCACCTCCTCTTGTATTCTATCGATCTTTTGGGTCCACAATTGCTTATTTTCATGTGCTACGTTTTTTATTTTCAGCGTGACGAACGGATTACACGGATCAGTTTTCCTTCACTGGATAAAGCAAAGGTGGCTTAATTGAGGAACCCGATAGTTAAATCTCGGTGACTTGAATATAAACGCGTGTACAGAGAAGCGTGGGGTATGTATGTTCGTGATTTTAGATTCGGCAAATACAACTTCCCACACAAGAGATAGCGGAGAGACAACGAAGTAACATCGGACAGTAATATGCTATGAAAAAGATGCCACATACTTTAGAAGGCGGGAATAAATTGGCCCTGCGCCACTTAGCGGCAATGAACCTAATTATTTATTGCTTGGTGATTTCTTGTATGCTATCCTTCAACGGAGCTGTTCATGTTGATATTGCTTCTATCCTCCCGAGATACAACAAACTGGGCTTCTCTATAGATAAGGTGGCTCCAGCTATAGAATACGCCATCAAACGTCTGAAAGAAAACAACACAGTACCCAAACTCAATATAACCGTTTCCTACGAGGATTCAAAGTGTTTTAGCGCCGAATCTGTGAACCACGCCTTCAATTTTTATATGAAAAGAAAAGTGCATGTCTTTTTTGGCCCTGTGTGTGATTTCGCAGCAGCACCGGTCGCCCGCCAGATCACCTACTGGAAAACGCCCATGCTCTCCGCGGGGGCAAACGCCATGGATTTTGCTGTGAATAAAAAACGTGATTACCCCTACCTGACGCGCGTAGGGGCTCACTTCGGGGACATGGTGGAGTTCATAACATCCCTCTTCAGTGATTTCAACTGGTTCAACTATCAGCTGATATACGAAGACGACCCTGACAAGAACAGAGAGAACAAATGTGAGAGTAAAGTTGACTACTTCAAGATGTGTTACTTCGCTGGCGAGGCTCTGGTGCAATATACGCCCAAGAAGGCTACCCTGAAGCACGAGAAATTGAAGAGTTCATCTGAATTGAAAGAACAGCTTACAGACACAATTGGCGCCAATGTCGGAGGTAAGTGTTGATGTTGTGCTAAGTGCGACATTGTGTTAGTTGTGATTTATTACCATGTAATGGGAGACATGCTGTATATGATATGCACCATTGGGTTTCTTTTGACATTTTGATAATAATAATAAGTTTACTGGGCACAATGTATCTCCTGGTTCGAGACAAATTTGCTGCAGATCTTTTAGTATGTGACTTTGCCAATACCTTTAAGATATAGAGGAGTTCGTTTGCTATAAGACTGTTGTCAATTTCTGTAGGTTTTGTGGAAAAAGGCTGCAGTTTTCTGAGTATATGTTGTCGGTTGCCAAAGATATAGAGTCCTGAAGGATATGTACATACATATATCAGTATATGATGTATCACACTGAAACCGTTTGTGTACTAATATAGGGACTTGTTCTGTTCCAAATATTGCTGTTGTGATCGATTCACTTATGTCACAACCCTTACATTGTATTTCAAAGTGCTGAGTACATAACCCTCATTCCTCTCTCTCTCTCTCTCTCTTAGATGCATTTAGCAGTATAGTAAGGGATGCCCATCAGTCTGACTTTCTCCAACCACTTGTTGCGCATGATACAAACCAGTTTCCTATATAACCGCCCGCTGGTCGCCCTGGTCAGGTATTGTGTTCATTCCAAGAATTGTTTTCTGTTCCTATTCTCATATTTGCCATATAAGTGATATTGTATCTGTTCAATTAGTTTCCCTTCCCAAAGTATAAGTAATCAGTCGGTTATTTATATGTTCACTAAAGAGTTTATTCTCTGCATATAATAATGGGGGTCTCAGCAGAAGCTGGTGGAACAAATACTTTAATCTAAAAGGAAAGACATTCATATGACGCCAGCAGTTTTCTGATGCTATCAAGTATTTAACTTGCGATCGTGAATTTTTCATACATTACAGTATATTTTGGTTTTTCTGAGGCATTTGTCGTATGTCCTCTACACGTTGTGGATACCATCACAACATAGGTTTTTAGCGTATAACTAGAACTTAAGTACATTAGCATACAAATACACACCTAATAATTTTAAACGTATAACCAGTAATACATACATGTATAGTAGACGCGTTATCATTGTATTGATTATCGACAGATATATACAAATTCCACAGATATGAAAAAATATACATGTATATAATTATTCTCAACGTTATATAATAACTATCAAGGGACAATTAGAAATAGTAGATTTCTCTTTGGATGAATTCAGGAATCATATATTTCTCGGTTGTTATTCAGTAAGACTGGGTGGTGAAAGGCTTAGTATAGGAATCAGAGTCTTTTGGAATCAGAGTCAGAGTCACTGCACTGTTAACTGAAGAGACAGACATTATAGAGGCTTCGAAAGAATACGAGGACGTCTGGCATACAGCCGTGCAGATGAAGTATTGGAGAGGGTAAATATAAGATCCTTGGTCATATATAGTTCACATTGCCTTTGACAAAAACAACTTATATATCACGAGTTATTACGTGGAATGTTCAGGAGCTTAAGATGCTGGGGTCGCATTAGTCAAATCCGGAACCATGACTCAGTGCGACTGCTGTGTTCTATACAGTGGTCACTGTGCAAGGATTACAACTGGCTCTGGTGTTTTATATTATAATTGTATTCACGCGATATGTGGGCACGATTACATACACACAAAATTGGAAGCAAACTATAAGAATTTTTTTTCAAATTTTTTCCTATTGATTCCTCATTTATTTGCCTTACGTTTTTTTTTACATTTACCACATGGAATAAAAAATAATAATCGATATATCTACTTTTCGTTGGAAAAATATAGACTCATTTTATACAAATTCAACACGCTGTTGATCGAAGTAGGAAGTTTGATTAAGCAATGGCAAACTGGTGTTATAAAGACAAAATGCTGGGAATATTGATAAGGATGTGAAAAGATATTTTAGATGCAGGAACGTGAAATGTTGCGTTTCGGGTAAAAACTTGAAGATAAAAAAGCAAATAATTCATGGAATTGCTGTTGTCTTACATATTTCTGTTTTTTTTCTTCAAATGGCCTGTTTTGGTCTCTTCGAAAAACATGACAAAACCCGATCTTATAACATGTACGTATATATAAACAACGCATTCGCTTTTCTGTGATTATACGAAAAGAGCACTGTTTTAAAACGTATTTTAAACTTTCGTAGATTGGTTTGTTTGGATTCGTTATTTGATGTCTTAGTATGCAAATTTTAAAACTTTGACGGAGACCTTGAGAAATCGTAGAACTAGTTCTCTCTTTCTCAGATCCCGTGGGCTTTATCTCCTGGTGGAAGCAAGCTCCACAGTCGAGCTACGTGCTATTCCTTCACAAGGGAAAGTTCGCTGCGAAGATAAAAAGGAAGGTGTTATCACGACATTAAAGGTCACACACTGATAAATTCGAATTTTTGAACTATCCCAATCTAAAAGATTAGTCGCATTATTTACACGGTAAATTTACCACCAAGGTTGAAAAAGTATGAGTTTTGTACAGTGGCTAGTGTTATTAATAGTCCACGTAGTGTCTTTGTGTGATGCTAATAGATAAAGGTACGTAAATCACTCTTAACATTTATCTATCATGGTTAAATCCTCGACCACGTTATTGGAGTCCTCGTTCACACAGGGGCAATTGAAGACGCTGCCTTGGTACATCAGATTAAACACCGCAGGTTTGTGTAACCAATTACACGCACTTGCAATATTACCTCTAATCATCGATGGATTTTATAGGTCCTAGCTTAGAAAGAAAACCAAATACCCTTTGTTGTCGGCCTGAGTTAGAATACAAACGAGTCCTACATATCAATTTTTAAGGAATGAAAAGATAGAAGTTCGTTTGTTATGTCACAGAATGCGTGTATGCGCGTGCGCGTATTTGTGTGTGTGTACGATGGAGAGAGAGAGAGAGAGAGAGAGCATAATCATTTTCCAATTCTTATAATTGTTTATCAAGATTAAAAAGGCTATAACCATTGTGCAAGGGGTCTCACAAAAGCTTCAATTGATTTTTGTTTTTCATTGTCCACAACTTACACGTCTTTAATGATCAGTTCACAAAATGACGAAAAAAAGACTGAAAAATAACTAATACCCCGAGGAAGCGCAAGCAACGTAAACAGCACTAATCATTAGTCAGTCCATAAGACACAAATTCAATGATTACCCATGTATCTAGAATGTTTGCCACAAGCTAACATTTCTAGACTTAACGACTCCGCCGGAAGCGGGATAAAACATAAATGTGTACTCTGGATATAAACGTAAAGAGAAATCAATGGTTTTAATGCCTGCATAGCAGTTATGATACGGCTGCTAATTAAGAGCGCATTTTTAGATAGGGATAAAAGATATTGCTCGGTAGTCCACATAAAGAGGTAAAAGCTCGTGTGTTGGGTTTCAGTGCCCGGTCTGGCAAAAACAGACGCTAAAAAGTGTAACATCAAAGAGTAGAGTACCTCTCTCCCGGAGTGTGCATTATACCTTGCGCTCATTAAACTCACAAATGAATTTTGTTTTATGTCAGTTTGAGTGGGTTTCTTACCTAGTTTGCAGAGCCCTATGCAACGAATGGTACATTAAATGGAGGGACCCTCTCTCATTTCCCCCCATACCTCCTCCCTCCCCCCCCCCCCAAAGAAAAAAATAGATAAATAAATACAAAAATACCGAAACAAGACAATACAAAGTGATTTCATTTCCCTTTATCCTACATGTACACATAACATTTGTTTCGTTTTATATTTGTCGCGTGAAACAAGGCAAAGAATTATCCTTCCCCCGCCGTAGCCGGTAGAAGAAAGCTGTTTTCATTTTTCGAAAGAGGGGAACTGAACAATTTCTAACACCTTTAAAAAAGTGTAAAGACGACAGGATACAATTATGATATCGAAGCCCAGGATGTTGTACTGGATTTCATGTGGTTTAAGCAAAAACAAGCTGAACTTAAAGTATAAAACGCAGATATAGAACGCATTCAGAACAGCGGGCTAACAGATCCGCGGATCAAATATGGCGACGCGCTTAAAAGGTGACCGCTTAATTCCCGATTAGACACTGAATAGATTCCCCACGGGGATTACGCAACAAGCATTAAAGTGGGACGGCCATATTTGATCCTCGGATCTGTTAGTCCGCTGTTCTAAATGCGCTCTTATTGTATAGAAAAAGGACCAAATTCTATGAGCAGTTAACACGATATAGATTCAAAAGAAGAATAAATGTAGACGTGTGAATATGCCAATACTTAATGAATTATTGTGGTAGCTCAGGTGTTTTTTGCTGGTGTGATCTGCATTTTGTAGTCTAAAAATGGCAAGTAACTGATGAATCACAATATATGGAGTATAAGTACAAAAGCTAGGCTTAATACAGCGCAGGTGCTACATGTATTTAAGGGTAATTTTGGATTTAGTGATCTATATAGAGACTAAAAAGAAAGCCGTTATACATGGAGACAAGACTAGTACTGCTGCACGAAGACAGTATAAATGGAACTAATGGACAAACATTTAGAGGCTAACGCAAAACCTGCATAATAACCTGAGAATTTTGTTCGAATTCGGGCAAGCGTCTTCATTTTCAAACGTGCTCATTTATTGAGTACGTGCTCCAATTCCCAAAGGCTTAGCGAAGCTCTGTTATTGTAAGAACAAGTAAAACCAAACACAGTACTTGAAAAGATCAATATCCTTTATCAAAATGACAAAGTTTGATATCATGGTAATGAATATAAACAATTTGTACTTGAGGTAATGATTACAAAGATGAAAAACAAAACGTTATATTGACTGTACGTCAAGGTGTCATGTATTGAAATATGAAAAAGAAGTGTCGTCTCTGAGACTTAGACCCCATTCCCATACCTAGATCGACCGAGCAGGATCCAACCCATCTTCGAGGGGATTCTGGCTAAATTGCATTCAACTTAAGTGGCTAAGATGTCTGGCACGCCTACTGAAGCTGCTTAACAATAGTAAATTACCCCGTAACAGCTTCAAT